GAGTGAGCACAAGCAGGGGAAAGGCAGAGAGGGAGAAGGAGACTCCCTGCTGAGCAGGCAGCCCACACAGGACTCCATCCCCCGGGACTGTGGGATCATGCCCTGAGCCGAAGGCAGAGGCTTAATCGACTGAGCCACCCAGGCGCCAGTTAGCAGGTCTTTGATTACAGAAATCTCAGTGTTAAAGGAGGTAAGTTTTGTTAATACATATATAACATTACATATCTCCGTTTTGACTCTCTTATTGTCCCTTGGTTAAAGGTTAAATAAATAAATAAGTTATAAGCTTTGTAATGATCTGTAATCCACTATTCAATCATGCGCTTTATAACTTTCTGAGGTTTTTTTTTTTTACATACGTCCTAAGGTTTAAATGATAAATGAAGTCTTATTTTTACCAGTTAGGCTTGTTTATTTGGTATGTTAATTTTCTCTGGAAGCAGTGTTAAACAAATAAAAAGACTTAGGTTGTATTGCTTGGGTAAATGCTATATATTCTAGAGATTATATGCAATTCCCAAATTAATACGTTCTGGTATAAGGCCATCACTTTATATTCTGATTATTGATGTGCTATGTGTCCCAGAAATGACCAGATTTCCTTGTCAGCTCTTTTGTAACCTTTCGTCAGATAGTTAGTCATGTCCATTTTTCAGTCTTTTATCACTGATAGTTATTGTTCTTATTCTCTTGTGAAATGTGTTTCATCTTTAAGGAGATTCATAAAAAAGGCTTTTGACAAATACAAGTTTTTGATCTTTAAAATCCTAAAACTAAAATTGGCAAAAATGTCCAGAACTAGCTAAAAGCCTCATTCACATGGAACCAAGAATTAGTAACATGAGACTAAATTAACTGAAGAAGATGATTATGGTTTTTGTGACTCTTGTTTGAAACATTCCTGGTTCTGTACTTTTTGTTCTTCCAGATTAAGGAAACTTTCTCTTAAGATATCCATGACGTACAGAAATAGGATAAAATTTGTTCACAGAGGAACAAATTGAAGCATTTAACTTTTCTCTCTTGTGGAACCCTCTAAAATTCAAAAGGTCTCAGTAAGTGTTCTTTCTTCCATGGCAATCCTAGTCATTTGCATGGGTTCATTAAAAATCTGTTCTCCCATGGGGCACCTGGGTGGCTCAGTGGGTTAAAGCCTCTGCCTTCGGCTCAGGTCATGATCTCAGGGTCCTGGAATTGAGCCCCATATGGGGCTCCCTGCTCAGAGGGGAGCCTGCTTCCCTCCTCTCTCTCTGCCTACTTGTGATCTCTGTCAAGTAAATAAATAAAATCTTAAAAAAAAAAAAAAAGAATCTGTTCTCCTTGTTATAGGACTTCATTAGAAACATTAGTTATTTGACCAAGGCTTTGACTGGAAGGTCACATTTGAGAGACCTGCATAGACTCAGATGTGACCTGACAGCTTTAAGGAACTAAGGCTGACTTTATGAAGCATGAAGCCAGTAGGGCTCCATGGAAATGTTGGCCCGATACCTTGCTTGCAGAATTTCCAGCAGCCTTACCAGGTGAGTAAAAAATGTCACTTCCTGGCAGGTGCAGGAACTGCAGGATTCCTTGGGGACCTCAGCAAGAGGAATTTGCCCACATCTACAGGTACTGCATCTCTGATGGCAAGCATTTGGCTTGGTTTCTGGCCTAGAGACACTACTAAAATTCAACCTGGAGATTCCTTACAAAAAGTTCCAGCAAAGCAGATTCTAAGAGATCTATATCGCCAATCACTATTCTTTCTGAGCTTATGTAAATAATAAGGCCAAGTTTGTTTCAACTGGACTTGTTTTTCAAAGGAATTAGTCTTGATTTGGCTATCTCTGATTTTAAAAAGGAGGGTGATTATAGACTACAGAGAAAATGTTTCAATAACACATCTTTGTAGATATCCTATTTTAAGCATTGTGATTTAAGAAAACTGGATTAATCTTTTTGGTTAGGGCTTCTCTGAGTGAGGATAGCCCCAAAACAACCAATAGGGTTAAGTTCCTTTGAGTTACTATATGAAAAACCTTTTCTCACTGAACACCTATCAATAGATGGAAACTATGATGCTCTGTTAAGTTATTCACTTGAGGTCAGGTTAATTCATAATCTCTAAATGAATACACAAACTATATCCTCCCTAAACCTGACCTGATCGTCACTAGGAACCAACTTCATATAAACCCCAGAGAGATGGTTTATTTAAAGGATTGGAAGTCCAATACAGCAGGAAATTTAACTCCAAAATGGAAGGGCCCCTATCGGGTCATATTATGTACTCCCACTTCAATACAATTAGAGGGGCACTCTTCATGGGCTCCTAGATTTAGAATAAAACCTGTACCTCCTTCACTGGAAACCAATGAGCAAACTAACGTGCCTTCTTATTCCTGTGAACCTGTGGAAGATCTCAAATTTCTCTTTAAAAGACAATAAAGTACTGGAGTAAAATTTTAGTTAACTATCAATATCATTTAAAAAAAAGATTATATTTATTTATTTGACAGAGAGACAGTGAGAGAGGGAACACAAATAGGGAGAGTGGGAGAGGGAGAAGCAAGCTTCCCATTGAGCAGGGAGCCTAACGCAGGGTTAAATCTCAGGACCCAGGGATCACCACCCGAACCCAAGGCAGATGCCTAACAACTGAGCCGCCCAGGCACCCCATCAATGTCATTTTTATTGGGCTCCTCTTTCTCATTATAATATTAACCTTATTTTGTTGTCTTTTCTGGTGTCTCCCTGCTTGGTGCCAAAACTTCTTCACTGCCATAACCTCCAACTGACAAATAATCCTTTCTACTCAAGGAGGTTCGTGTATGTTGTCTACCTTGGATTGGTTGCCTCTGACTTTGGTAACTCCTATACATATAAATTCCTCATCTGACTAATGTTGACCCACAGGTAGGGATATCTTTATGACCCTATTTAGCTGAAAGAAGTTACAGAAGGTAAGCCCTTCCACCCTCAACAACCTTAAAGATTTAAGGGTCAGAACTGTTCAGGGGGTATGATGAGGAGAACAACGGCAGAAGGAAATGTGGATAAAATTAAAGTTCCTTATAACCTACAGCCTATTGACAAACACTTGAAACAGGCAGAGAATAACATTCCTCCAGGAAACTCCCAGGTGTCTTAATGTTAATGTTTTGCTAGAAGGAAAAACAACCTTGGCTTGACAATATGCAAGGCCTCCAGGATTCTGTAAGTCCTCTTTAGAATCTGAAAGTCCTTTTGGAAACTTCCCTTGGTCTTTACCTCCCCCAGCTCCCAAGTATATAACTGGCTGTCCCTCACAATCCCAGGGAAGCAGCTCTTTCTGCCCATGGGTCCTGTCCCCATGCTTCAATAAAACCACATTTGGCATCGAAGATGTCTCAAGAATCTTTCTTGCTGTGTACTCCGGGCCCCACCATTTCAAGTAACATCAATATGTTCCTAAAAGTTAACTTCGGCCACAGGTTCTGTGAAGGCGGGAGTGTCCTCAGTGTCAGGCATGGCTATTACCATTCACTCCTCTGCTTCAACAACCCTGTTGGTTCCTTTCTCTGACTTGCGTGCCCTCCTGTCTTCCCTGCTGCTCTTAGGCTGAACCTGATGAAACCACTGATGTTTGTTGCTGGTGTTTCAACCGTTTCTGTTTTATTTAAAAAAAGGCAATTTCATGTGATTCAACCTAATGTTGCCCACATTTTAAAGAAGAGAAATGGATGCTTGGAATGGTTAAGTAATTGGCCCTAAAATCTCAGAGTAGTCAATAGCAGTATTAGGATTCAAAATCCAGTTTGCCTCCTTCTGAAATTAGTATACTTTTAACCAGATATTAAGAGCTTGGACCTAAGAACATGCCACTTGGTTTGGAATATCAGTTCATCTACTTACTAGCCCATGCCTTTGACATATTTTCCTCTCTGCACATCCCTCTTCCCATCTGCAAAATGGGGATAACAATAATGCAGGGGCGCCTGGGGGGCTCAGTCCTTAAGCATCTGCCTTTGGCTCAGGTCCTGAGCCCAGGGTCCTGGAATGAAGCCCAGAGACATTGGGCTCCCCACTCAGCAGGAAGTGCTTTTCACTCTCCCTCTGTCCCTGCTTGTGTTCCCTCTCTTGCTGCTCTCTCTCTTTCTGTGTCAAATAAATAAATAAATAAATAAATAAAATGTTTTTTTAAAAATGCAGTTATTATCCCATGTGTAGGGGTTGCCCTGAGTATTTGAATGAGGAATTCTAAGTACAGAGAACATTTTATAAATGTAGGGTATTATCTTCAGGTTTCCTTTAATGTGTTTTTTTTTTTTTCCTGGTTGAGTAAATCTACCAACACACACCACCTTTGTGTGATAGCATAATGCCACGGAACTGAGAAATTCCGTAGCAAAAGACCTTATTATAATGTCAAGTAGGTAGGAGTTGAACGGTGACCCCCAGGGCTGTTTCGCGTTAGCACTACGAGATTCCCCCCGCCCCCCTGCCCGCTTGTCTTCATTTTTTTAAGAGGGTGGTGGGGGCTGACACTTCCAGGGAGTGCGGCTGTAATTTATCCTTCTTGACACCGGGCCCCAAATCCTCCAGATAAAGGGGAGGCAGCCCGAGGAGAGGAGGCGCGGCAATTCTTGTAAACAGTCCCTAAATAAATCCTGGCGGGGGCACGGGAAATTCCACCCCGTTAGAAGTCTAGGAAGCGGTGTGGAGTTCACCCCGGGAGGGCTCTGGTGAGGAAATCCCCATCTCCCCCGTCCCAGAAGCCGCAGCAGGTTCAAGTCCTGCGTAAAGCGAGGTGGGCGCGCTCGGGGTCATTTCAGAGGCACTCTCTTATCTCAGGGAGAGCCTCGTGTCCCAGGTGACGGGTCCGTCTAGAAGCCGCACGCAGCCCTCCCAGGGTCACCTGGGCGAGGACGAGGAGCTGCCCCGGGGCGGACCCCGGGCGGCGGGTGCGGGGCGTGGTCTGGGAGGGCGCCCCGCGCGGCTCCTTTAAGGGCGGCCCGGCCCACGTGCTCCGTGACGTCAGAGCAGGAAGTGTTTGAGGAAGTCGCGCTGGGCTGGCAGGTTTAAGATTCCCGCATTTTAATGTCTGCGGGGAGGTGCCAGAGCCCCCGGTTTCGCCGCCCCAGCCCCCCCCTCCCCCTCCCGGGGGAGCGGCTCCCCTGCCCCGCACTCCTGCCAACAGGTGAGTCCCCCGGGCGGCCCCGGGGGGGGGGCGGTAACACCTGCAGACCCCCGTCTGCTCTGCACCGGCGAGCTCGCGCCTCCCTCCTCCCTTGTGGCTCCCGAAGAAACTTCTGTGGAGTTTAAAAGTCGGGGTTTCCGGGCGTACAAGCCTTTCTCTCACGCGGGTTAGAGTGGGGAGGCCCGGGACAGCCCCTGCCCGGGTGGTTCCAGGTGGCCTCTTGGAGGTGGTGGCTTTGGGAGAGAGTCACGATGCGTTTGGACTGTGTGAAGACACACGTGACCGTAAGGAAACCCAGTGTTAGCCTCTGTCCCTGCCGCCTTGAGTGGAATGGGCGCGGGGCAGGGCGCCCCTTGCTGGAGTCCAGGCTGGGCCGCCCTCTCCGAGTTCAGGGGGTGTGGAGAAAGATCTCCTTCGAGTGACTTTCTTCCCCGTCTCCTTCCACCACAGCTGAGGTGGGGGTGCGGGAAGGTGAGAAAAACAAAAGTTCGCTGCCAAAACCCGCACACCAGACACCCTGGTTTATTTACAAAAAGAAAACGGTCTCTCGCATGTTCTCTTACCTTCTCCATCTCCTTGAGTTTCACTTTTTTCTTAATATTAATTAATCTTTGTCCCCCACACCAAATTGCTTACAGAGTTAGCACGGCACCAGTATGAGCTGGTCACCTTCTCTGCCAACCCAGACGTGTGGGGCCTGGGAGATGAAAGAACGACTCGGGACAGGGGGATTTGGAAACGTCATCCGGTGGCACAATCAGGTAGGGCCTCCGTGGGGCTGGGAAGAGCAAAGGCGAGCAGGGGTGGTAGGCGAGGCGGAGAAGACAGGTTTCCCTCCAATCGCCTCTGTCCCACGCTGCTGGGTGGGGGGGATGGGCCTCACCTTTGGCCATGGGCTTGTTGGGAGAGCGTGAGAACCGGGAACTGGAAAGGGGCCTTCCAGCTTCTGAGCTGACTCTAAGTTAGTGATCTCCAAACTTTACTGACTATGCTCCCCAAGTAAATAGTAAAAATAGTTTGTTTTCAGACTCAGTTTTATGTATCTTAAATTATATCTGTGCTACCATCATGCTATCATGTACTAATACATTGCATGTTACAAAACATACAAAAATAGAACAGTTTAAAGGATGGTCGTAGTAAAATATATTTAAGTGTTTAAAAAATCGGTTTAAAAATATTTCAAATATGTACTCATTATGATGCCTTCCCGGTGTTGTTTGCAGTACTGCACAGCGCAGAATATACAGATCTATATGAAAGTGAGAATTGGGCGCCTGGGTGCCTCAGTGGGTTAAACCTCTGCCTTCCGCTGGGGTCATGATCTCAGGGTCCTGGGATTGAGCCCCAAATCTGGCTCTCTCAAATTGCTCAGCGGGGAGCCTGCTTCCCCTTCTCTCTCTGCCTGCCTCTCTGCCTACTTGTGATCTCTCTTTCTCTGTCAAATAAATAAAATCTTAAAAAAAAAAAAAAAGAGAAAGTGAGAATTTTATCGTTAAGAATAGTGGATGAAAACCCATGTTTCAAAGAATTTTTATAATTTGGAGTTATTTGGGCTGATTTCTTTTTAGATCTGATTAGATCCTCATTGTTTTACTCCTGTGTCTGAAATGAGTTGCGTACAATATAGAAGTGTTAGTTCTTGCATATTCCTGTTTGCTTGCCCCGAAGTTCTCCACAGGAATTTCTTTAGGTACTTGTCCATTTTATGAGAGTCATTTTATTGAAACTGGGTAATACAGTCCATGATCTACCTAAGCCGGAGCCCCTGTCCACCAGTGCCTATGGAATGCTCATTTTCCTCTGTGTACCTCGAGGCCACAAGCGATGTGTTATCTTCTGAGAAATAAACTCAGGAGGCTGTCCTAAAGCTAATATCAGAAAAGCGTAATTTCTTTTTAATTTGTTTGGATTCCAGTCTTGGGTCACCGTGGTGCACATACACCCAATTTGGAGACCACTGCTCTAGGGAACCCTCAGTCACCAAATCACTAAAGTTAGCTTCCTGACTCCAAAATAAGACCTGTGAAGTACTTGATGGAAGGTACCTGCTTTTTTGATCAGGGGCTGGTGAGCTCTTGTTGGACTGAAGGGATGGCAAATTGTGCACCGCTTCCCAGGAGCCAGCTGCAACAGCCCGCGGGAGAGTCATCAAGGCTACTGGCCAGCCACAGGAGAATGTCGTTCCAGATAGCAATCTTCATCACTTAGTTGGAAGACATTCTAGGCCCTGCCCTGAGTCTTGTCAGCTCTAAGTAGATGGAATGACCCCTCGAGGAATGTGGGAGCCAGAGCTGGAGGGCAGAGTACAGTTCTGGAGGTGGTCATTCCCACATTCAACTGGGAAACCAGAATTCCAGCAAACCCTATGGCCGAGCGGGCCACAGAAACACAACTGGCTCAAATGTGTTCTGGTCTGAGTATAACCATGGGCCTAGCATTACAACATAAGAGTTAGATCATTCTATGGCCATACATACATACCTGGGCCGGGCTGCTTCTAGAGAGGCCACAGCTTTTAGATTCTTGACCACAGCAACTGTCTTGGAGCAGCTGAACTAGATGTTTGGTTTCCCTCAAAAGGAATTCTGTCCAGCTGTGCCATGTGTCTGTCATCTCCAACTAAAATGGCCTCTGTCTGCTCTGTGAGTTTGGAGAGCTATTGTCAGATGGAATTTGTTCCTGGGTTTATAGATACGGGTCTCAAAAAATGTGTGTGTGTGTGTGTGTGTGTGTGTGTGTATGTAGATTGGTCTTCTAAAATTACTACTTTCAAGTTCCTTCCCTTGTTCAAAAACCTTGTTTTTAATTTTTATTTTATTTTTTAATTGAAGTATAGTTGGCGTTCACTTTTTTCCTCTTTTTCTTTTTAATAATTTTTAGATTTTTTTATAAACATATAATGTATTATTAGCCCCAGAGGTACAGGTCTGTGAATCACCAGGTTTACACACTTCACAGCACTCACCATAGCACATACCCTCCCCAATGTCCATAACCCCACTACTCTCTCCCTACACCCCTCCCCCCGGCAACCCTCAGTTTGTTTTGTGAGATTAAGAGTCTCTTATGGTTTGTCTCCCTCCCGATCCCATCTTGTTTCATTTATTCTTTTCATACCCCCCCAAACCTCCCACGTTGCATCTCCATGTCCTCATATCAGGGAGATCATATGATAGTTGTCTTTCTCCAATTGACTTATTTCGCTCAGCATAATACCCTTAGTTCCATCCACATCGTCGCAAATGGCAAGATTTCATTTCTTTTGATGGCTGCATAGTATTCCATTGTATATATATACCACATCTTCTTTATCCATTCATCTGTTGATGGACATCTAGGTTCTTTCCATAGTTTGGCTATTGTAGACATTCCTGCTATAAACATTCGGGTGCACATGCCTCTTCGGATCACTATGTTTTTATCTTTAGGGTAAATACCCAGTAGTGGCACTCACTTTTATATTAGTTTTAGGTGTACAGTGTCGTGATTTGGTGATTATGTACATTATACAGTGCTCACTGTGGTATTGTCACCATCTGTTCCCATACCCATACATGATATCAACACCATCTGTCCCCAAGTGTTGTTACAGTATTAGTGACTATATTTCTAATGCTGTACTTTTCATCCCCCCATGACTACTTATGGTACCAAAAGTTTGTGTCTCTTAATTTCATCACCTGTTTCACCTATCCCCCAACTCTTTCCCTTCTGGAAACCACCAGTTCTCTGTATTTATGAGTCTGTTTCTACTTTTTTTTTTTGTTTGTTCCTTCATTTGTTTTGTTTAGACGCCCCGTGAAGTGAAATCATGTGACATTTTTTCCTCTAACTTATTTCACTTAGCATAATACTCTTTATGTCCATCCATGTTGTCTCAAATTGCAAGACTTCATTCCTTTTTATGGCTGAGTAATATTCCATTGTGTATGTGTATATCTATCTATCTATCTATCTATCCCTCTACATATATGCCACATCTTCTTTATCTTCTTTATCTATTCATCTGTTGATGGACCCTTGGGTTGCTTCCCTGTCTTGGTTGTTATAAATAGTGCTGCAGTAAACATAGGGGTGCATGTATTAGTGTTTTCAAATTGGTGGTGTTGTTTTCTGTGATTGAATACATAGCAGTGGAATTATTGGATCATGTGATAGTTCTGTTTTTAAGTTTTTGAGGAACCTCCACTCTGTTTTCCATAGCGGCTGCATCAGTTTACATTCCTACTAACAGTGTACGAGGTTTCCCCTTTCTTCACATCCTCGCCAACACCTGTTATTTCTTCTCTTTTTCATTCTAGCCATTCTGACAGGTGTAAGGTGATATCTCATTGTGGTTTTGATTTGCATTTCCCTGATGATGAGTGATGTTGAGCATCTTTTCATGTGTCCGTTTTCCATTTGTATATCTTTGGAGAAATGTCTATTTAGGTCTTCTGCCCATTTTTTTTTTTTTTTAAGATTTTATTTATTTATTTGACAGAGAAGGAGAGGTCACAAGTAGGTGGAGAGAGAGGGGGAAGCAGGCTCCCTGCCGAGCAGAGAGCCCAATGCAAGGCTGGATCCCAGGACCCTGAGACCACGACCTGAGCAGAAGGCAGAGGCCCAACCCACTGAGCCACCCAGGCGCCCCACTTCTGCCCATTTTTTAACTGGATTATTAGTTTTTTTGTGTGTTGAGTTGTGTAAGTTCTTTTTGTATTTTGCATACTAATCCCTTATTGGATGTATCATTTGCAAATATCTTCTCCCTAGTTTGCCTTTTCATTCTGTTGATCATTTTTCTTTCTTTTTTCTTTTCTTTAATCTGTATTTTTTAAAAGCCAAACTCACATCATTCTGCTGTTTGAGGCCTCTTCACAGTCTGGCCTCACCCCGTCTTTCTAGCATTACCACCTCTTGTTGACTCCCAACAAGTTGGTTGGCTGAGCCTTCTCTGGGACAAGCCTCTGCTTCCTGGACAGCTTTATGTGCTTCTGCCCATTCCTCCAGGATCAGCTCCAGACCACCTCCTCAATAAACCTCCCATGGACTCCTTCATTCTATAAAAATTAGTTCTTCCGTTGAATTCCCCTGCTCCAATCATTTGGCATGCTTCATATCCTGCCCTTTCGTCTGTGTATAGGACTGTATCTTGTCATGGCTCTAAGTTCCTGGTCAGCCAGGGCCCTGTCTGGCTTTGGCTTTCTTTCAGTTCCCCCATAGCAATTTTCTTTATGTTATACATGAGTTAAGTGCATAAAGTCATTCACTTTCCTTAAAGATCTTTTTGGAAAAGGGAAAGAGCTATTAATCATTCATTACAAATGTAAGCTCCTAACTATCATAAGTCTGACACAGGAGAGGGGCTCACGGCAGTGATACCTTATACCAGAAGGTGTGATCAGTCTGGAGGTCGGGGCGGGGGCAGGGGGAGGCTTCTTCAAGGAAGTGGCACTTAAGTGCAGACCTGAGTTATTGGTAGAAGGTAGCCAGGCTTTGCCGGTCTAAGAACGTGGGAGGAGAGTTCCAGGAAGAGGGAGCAGCCTATTCAAAACCCCTGTGCTGGGGCAGGTCTTGGCAAGCAGGTGGAATAGAAAGGTCAGCAGGACCAGAAGGGAGGACAAAGGGAGCTAGGTGCAGGGGAGGCTGCTACGTAGAAAGTGACAGTGGGACCCTGCTAAGAGCTTTTGGTTTTTATCTGAAGAGCAACAGGAAGCTGTTGGAAGGGGATCTACTCTGACTGTGGGAAGAATTTGGAAGGGGCCCAGGCAGTGAT